CTGTAAGGAGCTCAGAAAGAGCCGAAAATATTCCATCCAATCATATTTTGGAAGAATATTCTAAAATCTCTGCATGTAGCTTCTCGATGGGACAATGCTAATAACCCCCTGTATGTGGATTGGGTAGCTATAATGATGATTTCGTTTTGTTCTAGAACCGTACAGCTGAACTTAATAATAACCCATCTCCACTAACCGTGCTCCTCCAAAGTAAACTTAAACGTTCTAAATCGAGAGGGAGTATATTCATTAAAGGCAAACAAGTATAAGAAGATCCCAAACTTGTCACAGAATTATTTAGTGAACACTTTTGTTTCTCACTAACTAACGAAAAGCCATTTATTGATTCCGAACCAATCCTGTTACCTCCCTGCGAAATTACTAATGTCGATTTCAACGCACAAAATATCTCCAAGGCAATCAGTACATTGAAACAGTTCTACACTGATGGACCAGATGGTATTCCATCTAGCTTGCTAAAACATGGAGGTGATGATATGTGTGTTTTGCTTCTCAAACCATTCGCGCGATCACTCTCTGCAGCGTGTTACCCTAATGCCTGGAAAACTACACATATCATTCCCAGAATAAAAACAGGACCTGAAGCAAACGTTGAAGATTACCGGCCCATAAACATAACTTCAGTGGTATCCAGAGTGATGGAAAAAGTAGTTAAGGCGTCTGTAGTCCAACATCTACTAACTAATAATCTCATCTCGACCTCCCAGCATGGATTTCTTAGGTCCAGATCATGCGATACATGCCTAGTAGACTACCTGAATGATATAACTCTGAAACGAGACAGCGGACTCCTTGTATCAGTCCTATTCCTAGACTTTAAGAAAGCCTTTGATAAGGTCCCATACAAAAGGCTACTCGTCAAACTAAAATCCTTCGGAATAAACAACCCACTGTACTCATGGTTTGCTTTGTTCTTAACAGGACGTAAACAGATGGTAAAGTATAATGACTGTCTCTTGTCACCTAGACCAATCACCAGTGGAGCCATCCAGGGAAGAGTATTAGGTCCACTTTTGTTTCTTATGTAGATAAACGATATATGTAACACCATAGAATTTGGGAAACCATACTTATATGCTGATGATCTCAAAATAGTATACAGCTATAAGCCTGAGAAACTAAGCGAAAGTGTATCCCAGATCCAAAAGGATCTCAATAACTTAACTATATGGAGTGAAAAATGGCAATTACCATTTAACCTCAACAAGTGCGGGATCATGCACTTTGGAAAGCATCCCTATAAACCGGAACTTCACTTAAATAAAAGTAGAGTCCAAAGACTCGAATCAGTACACGATTTAGGAATTAATTACACAGGAAGTCTGAACTTTGAAGAACATGCCTCCTCGATTATTTCTAAATCTAGACGGCTAATTGGTTTCATAATGAGACATTTTTTCACAACAGAGGCTAAGCTTACTCTCTACAAAATATGTGTACGGCCCTCCCTTGATTACTGCTCTTTTGTCTTCTCTAATATGAATATCACAGACAAGATAAGAGTAGATGTTCAAAGACGATTCACACGCCAACTGCTAGGATGTAACTCGAATCTCGATTACACAGATAGATGTAAGAACCTCTCTTTAGAACCTTTTAGGCACCGTAGGCTAAAGAACAATTAAATATTTCTCTACAAAGCGATATATGGGCTCTCCTTTCTAACCTCCTGTCCGACTGTGACCCACGACCCAGTCTATAGACTTAGAAACAACGCATATACACTACTTACCGTGAAACACCAAAAACAAATGCGTTGCAAGTTTTTCACAGTAAGGTATAGTTTATTGTGGAACAGGCTGCCAATGCCTATCCGTAACTGTGATACGTTTATCAGATTCAAAAAGCTAATGACCCTATTTCTAGACTCTAAAGAACTTCAACATTTCCTTGAACTCCCGTCCACCAATGAGGCACTTTATTACGGACCGCCTAGTATCTAGAAAGAACAAGATTATAACAAGTTCGACAGTTACTAATATGAATATAACCAAATCACAGAATATATGGCTTATCCTTTCCTATTATTCATTGTTTATTAATCATGGCCTTATGCTCCTAACCCTCACTTTCAGTTCCCAAATCTCCCTACAGGTTAAATGTACATTATTCTTCCTAAAAGTCATACTTTTTTTCTATTGCAAGTAGACAGATAACTCACTAAGCTTATGGATGCTGATCTTTTTTTCTTCTACAATTTTATACCCTCTCATATCTTTTGATTTGCTATTAGTCCTTATTTCTTTAAACCATTAGTTATTTTCATAGCAGTGTGATATACTATGTGGACATCTAACCCATAAAACAGACTCTTCAACTATCCGATTTTCTTGTAACATGGAACTAGTAGAGACAGTGTATTCCAACTATGGGCTTTGATTAAAGCAGTATTCATACTTACCACAAACGTAAGAGACCCTAACATCACAAAAGGAGAGAGGGTGGCGTTGCTGACCGGCAAACATGATGGTGGGGAGATAACTTCAATCCACCCATGTCTGTAGGGCAGAACATTTTGCTTAATTACGGCTCCTTATGGTTTAGTGTGATGTTACGAACTTAAGGTATTAATGCTAATTTATCATGCAAAATACCTCATTAAATCGTGTTACCCAGTAATCCTATTACAAGCAAACAAGACAATTCGATAATATACGAAGCCTACTCAAGACCCTATGATACCTAAAAATTAAAAAAATAATAATACAAAAAAAGATGAAAAGGGCTCCAACGGCTTCGATAAAAAAAGGAAGATAGTCAATTGTATATCACAATAACTGTTTTTAGCACTATATTTTATGACCACACATAATCTCATACTTTCAGCTCCTTTCTGGATCCCCTCCATTTGTCAGTTGTATGTCCACTCATACCTTGTTTACACTTATTTTCTTTAACCTATTAAAATGCTCTTGCTTAACAAATACCTTAGTAAAAGAAAATTAGACTGAGAAATCGTACCTTAAACATTTCTTCATGAATACTGGCTACTCTGCCTCTCGTGTTTTCTTTTACTTGCTCCCTCTTTCAGCCCCCTTGAGATATGGAACGTGTGAATTCATCTTGCACCATCCTTAAAGCCTTGGATATTCCAGGAATCAGCTTAGTCACCGTTCTCTGAACCTTTTCCAGAAGCTCACTGTCTTTTTGTAAGCAGGGGCTAGCCGCTTGTATGCAGTACTCAAGTTTAGGATGTACGAACTCAGTATACAAAGTCAAAATCGTTTTAGCGTTGACATGACTAAAAGCCCTACGTATTGTCCATAAGGTTCTAAAACCTTTGGCGGCTATTGCACGGCAGTGTGCAGTAGTCTTTAAGTCTTGGCTAACGATACCTCCTAAGTCATTTTATGTCTGGACGACAGGTAGCTCAGTGTTTTTCATCGTGTATGTATCTGTGCCTTGATGACCGATATGCATCACAACACACTTGGAAGTATTTATCGGCAACTGCCAGGTTTGAGACCATTCAGACAACTTCTTCAGGTCATTTTGAAGTTCTAAGCTATCACTCTTACATCGTATCGTTCTCCATATCTTGACATCGTCAGCATATAGCAAGACCAATTGTAACGGAAAAAGAACAGTGAAAATCCCTCTGCAGCTTCTTTGTTGAACAGTATTTTCATTTATTTGTTCCTTCTCTCTTTTGTGTATTCCAACCTTTGTTTCGACCTCGTTTAACCATGTCTTTTGTTCTTCAGTCTTCCCCGTTTGAGCCTTTATTATGTGACTTTGATTAAAGACTTATTTTTGTTACCTAATTTTCTATTGCATGTTGCCGGACCATTGACAGTAAGGTTGTGTTTGACTAAGCTCAAGGTCACGGCGTGGTTCATTTTGTGACTGTTAACCCTCTGACTGTCTGCTTGGGAGAATTGCTGCAATCCCTGCAGATAGATATTTGATCCCATCTTATTGGGAATATTTGTATTGATTCTCAGGTATCAAACCCTTTAGTATTAACTGTCTCTTTCATTGTTTAGCGCGCTACTTTGCGTTAGAGAAACTTCTGACTGTATAGCACAGGCTGTACCGTTTGAGGTATTTTGTATTTTTGATGTAATTTGTTCTGTTTTCTTAATTAGAACCGTTTATATTGAGCACAGAGTTTGTGTTTTGATATAATATAATACGAGTATCTCAAAGACGCGTTGTGAGCTATACAGAGGAACTTGGTCTGGTCTAATCGAATAAATTTTGGGTTCGTCAGTCCGTTGTTCCAACCGAATATTGGCTGTTCGGTCGTTACAGTTCTCAAACGAACAGTAATCTCAAGTGACAAACTCTGGAATGCCTGGAAAGCGCAATAAGATCAACGAAAACTTGCCATTGGGCCACGGAGAAATGCAATCGGATACACCTCCAGATGTACGGCAAGTCAAATTAGATGCATTTTCATGTCATGGCTCTAATGTTAGTTTATTAAGTAAACGTAGTAAAGTTAGCTCTAGGATTACCTTAGCAGAGTTAAAAGAAAGGCAATTATTAGAAATGAGGGACTTGAAAGATAGACAGAGGAAACAACTACTGTGCTTTCAGAGAGAGTTTGGGTCGTTAAGGCTGAACAAAAGCACGTGTAGCAAATTATCTTCTGTTTCTAACTGTGATGACAGAGAAAAGGAGCACGTTCACAGGTTCGTAAGTCCTTCTCATGACCTTAGGATAAAGTCTCTAGAAAAGTCAAAACTGTTAGATTATCCAGGAACGAAGGAGAAAGTGACCTTGGAATCTCTAAGTGTAGGTCATGAACGTCCAACAGTAGAGCACGATGCCTACTTCGATGAAAGTTATAATATTGTTCCTTTACCTAGAGGAGTGGCTGAGGAAGACATTGCTACCCCTGTTATTGGCAATGAGTCTGGTATGTGTAAAGCTGGCTTCACCAAAAATGATGCTCCCATAGCCGTATTGCTCTCTATTGTTGGAAGAACTAGACATCAAGTGACTGTGGAAATGGATGGAAAGGACAGTCATGTGGGAGACGATGCTCGACCGAAACGTGTTATCCTGACACTGAAGTACCGAATTGAACATGATATTGCGACTAAGTGGGGTGATATGGAGAAGATGTGGTACCACACATTCTACAAAGGGTTGCGAGTGGTAACAGAGAAACATCCGGGGTTGTTGAGAGCAGTTTCATTGAACCCGAAGGCAAACCATAAGATGACAAGGATCATGTTTGAGAGTTTTAATACACCAGGTACGTGTGCTGCTACTCAAACGGTGTTGTCACTATGTACACTATGTACAACTGGTATAGTGTTGAACTTAGGTGACGGTGTGACCCACACAGTTCCGATTTATGAAGATTATGCGTTGCCTTATACTGTTTTGCGATTGGACTTTGCTGGTAGAGTTCTTGCCGACTTTAGGATGAAGATCCTGACTAAGACAGGTTGCAGTTCCTCTGTCTATTCGTGGAACATACTCAGGCGCAAACCACCGGACATCGTTTTACTCTATAGTAAGTCTAGAGTGGCACCTATAAAACAGGCAACTGTGCCTAGACTGGAACTAACAGCGGCAGTATTGAGTGCTAGAATGGGGGAAGTTTTAAATAAGAACCTTCCTCATGTGTTTGACAAGACTCACTTCTCGATGGATTCTATGATAGCACTGTACTATATAAAAAATACAGATAGTAGGTATTCCACCTTCGTGGCTAATCGTCTGGCCGCTATTCGTCATTTAACATCTGTGGACCAGTGGGGGCACGTAGAATCCCATGAAAATCCTGCTGACTGGACATCACGAGGCATACGGAAGGAGCTAGATTTAAAGAACTGGATTGAGGGTCCTTCCTTCTTATGGAAGAAAGAGTCTGTAGGAACACTGACGCTTATGTGCGAAAACCCCCCGGAAAATGTTGAATTTAAAAGATGCCACACGACCAACGCAGTTGCGCTAAAACATAGCTCAAGTCCAATTCTGCTATATCACTCAAATTGGATAAAGCTGATTAAAGCGGTAGCATGGCTCAGAAGATACGTGATCTATGTAACCATCATGTACTCCCATCACGATGACAGGTCCCTAAGTGTGGGCTATCTGTCAGTTGATGAATTGGATGCAGCTAAACACAAGGTATTAGCCTTAGTGCAAAAGGGAGTGTATGGGGAAGCAGTTAAAGTGTCTCGATATAGTGGCGTAAGCGCAACTGTTATAAAAGAGCTAAAAAATCTTTCACCTACGCTAATCGATGGATTGCTTTGTGTCGGCGGACGATTAAATTACTCGGATTATCCACTCTCAATCAGACATCCGGCAATTTCACCCAGTCATCACTTCGTAACAGAACTTATTATTAGACACCATCATCACCTAGAAGGTCACACCGGGACATCACAAGTGTTAGTTACCATACCACGAAATTATTGGATTGTTAAAGGAACCAGTGCAGTTAAACGAGTGATAGGTAGATGTGTGAGGTGTATACGCGCGAAGGCCACATTAGGCCAACAGATGATGGCACCTCTCCCCAAGTGTCGAGTGCAGCAAGGCTGGTTTTGCTTCTCCTCCGTCGGGATAGACTATTTTGGGCCGTTGATAGTGCGTCGGAGAAGAAGTGAGGAAAAAAGATATGGATGCCTATTCACGTGTCTCCAAACACGTGCCGTACATTTGGAAGTAGCTTTCAATTTGAGTGCTGATGCTTTTATAATGGCTTTAATACGTTTCATAGGAAGGAGAGGAACTCCTAATGAAATCTATAGCGACAATGGAACTAACTTTGTCGGGGCCACTTCCGAATTACGGGCTAATATGAGTGTGTGGAACAAGCATAGAATAAACGACTTAACAGTATCGAAGGGTATACGCTGGCATTTCAACCCCCCACTAACTAGCCATCGGGGCGGAGTTTGGGAGAGGTTAATACGGTCTGTTCGGGGGATCTTACTATTTATTTCCAACGGGCAAATATTACACGATGATAGTTTGGCAACTTATTTTGTGGAGGTAGAACGAATTTTAAACAACCGCCCAATCGTTCCTGCGACGTCAGATGAAAAGGATGATTTGGTGCTCACGCCAAACACTTTGTTATTACTAAGAGACAGTGATGATGCGAATGAGAGGTGTAGTAAGAAGAGATGTGCGAAAGCTCTGCCTTCTAGAGGGAGCCGAGTAATTGTGGATTGTAGCTTAGGTTTATGGATGTACAGGCGTACTGTTGTAAGTCCTGTGCCTCCCATTGATATATAGCAGTTAGTAAGGAGAGCCATGACAGAAATGTATTCTAAGGTGTCTTTGCGTAGCTGGAGGGATTTTGGGGGCCGGTGTAACGGAGAAAGAACAGTGAAAATCCCTCTGCAGCTTCTTTGTTGAACAGTATTTTCATTTATTTGTTCCTTCTCTCTTTTGTGTATTCCAACCTTTGTTTCGACCTCGTTTAACCATGTCTTTTGTTCTTCAGTCTTCCCCGTTTGAGCCTTTATTATGTGACTTTGATTAAAGACTTATTTTTGTTACCTAATTTTCTATTGCATGTTGCCGGACCATTGACAGTAAGGTTGTGTTTGACTAAGCTCAAGGTCACGGCGTGGTTCATTTTGTGACTGTTAACCCTCTGACTGTCTGCTTGGGAGAATTGCTGCAATCCCTGCAGATAGATATTTGATCCCATCTTATTGGGAATATTTGTATTGATTCTCAGGTATCAAACCCTTTAGTATTAACTGTCTCTTTCATTGTTTAGCGCGCTACTTAGCGTTAGAGAAACTTCTGACTGTATAGCACAGGCTGTACCGTTTGAGGTATTTTGTATTTTTGATGTAATTTGTTCTGTTTTCTTAATTAGAACCGTTTATATTGAGCACAGAGTTTGTGTTTTGATATAATATAATACGAGTATCTCAAAGACGCGTTGTGAGCTATACAGAGGAACTTGGTCTGGTCTAATCGAATAAATTTTGGGTTCGTCAGTCCGTTGTTCCAACCGAATATTGGCTGTTCGGTCGTTACAGTTCTCAAACGAACAGTAATCTCAAGTGACAAACTCTGGAATGCCTGGAAAGCGCAATAAGATCAACGAAAACTTGCCATTGGGCCACGGAGAAATGCAATCGGATACACCTCCAGATGTACGGCAAGTCAAATTAGATGCATTTTCATGTCATGGCTCTAATGTTAGTTTATTAAGTAAACGTAGTAAAGTTAGCTCTAGGATTACCTTAGCAGAGTTAAAAGAAAGGCAATTATTAGAAATGAGGGACTTGAAAGATAGACAGAGGAAACAACTACTGTGCTTTCAGAGAGAGTTTGGGTCGTTAAGGCTGAACAAAAGCACGTGTAGCAAATTATCTTCTGTTTCTAACTGTGATGACAGAGAAAAGGAGCACGTTCACAGGTTCGTAAGTCCTTCTCATGACCTTAGGATAAAGTCTCTAGAAAAGTCAAAACTGTTAGATTATCCAGGAACGAAGGAGAAAGTGACCTTGGAATCTCTAAGTGTAGGTCATGAACGTCCAACAGTAGAGCACGATGCCTACTTCGATGAAAGTTATAATATTGTTCCTTTACCTAGAGGAGTGGCTGAGGAAGACATTGCTACCCCTGTTATTGGCAATGAGTCTGGTATGTGTAAAGCTGGCTTCACCAAAAATGATGCTCCCATAGCCGTATTGCTCTCTATTGTTGGAAGAACTAGACATCAAGTGACTGTGGAAATGGATGGAAAGGACAGTCATGTGGGAGACGATGCTCGACCGAAACGTGTTATCCTGACACTGAAGTACCGAATTGAACATGATATTGCGACTAAGTGGGGTGATATGGAGAAGATGTGGTACCACACATTCTACAAAGGGTTGCGAGTGGTAACAGAGAAACATCCGGGGTTGTTGAGAGCAGTTTCATTGAACCCGAAGGCAAACCATAAGATGACAAGGATCATGTTTGAGAGTTTTAATACACCAGGTACGTGTGCTGCTACTCAAACGGTGTTGTCACTATGTACACTATGTACAACTGGTATAGTGTTGAACTTAGGTGACGGTGTGACCCACACAGTTCCGATTTATGAAGATTATGCGTTGCCTTATACTGTTTTGCGATTGGACTTTGCTGGTAGAGTTCTTGCCGACTTTAGGATGAAGATCCTGACTAAGACAGGTTGCAGTTCCTCTGTCTATTCGTGGAACATACTCAGGCGCAAACCACCGGACATCGTTTTACTCTATAGTAAGTCTAGAGTGGCACCTATAAAACAGGCAACTGTGCCTAGACTGGAACTAACAGCGGCAGTATTGAGTGCTAGAATGGGGGAAGTTTTAAATAAGAACCTTCCTCATGTGTTTGACAAGACTCACTTCTCGATGGATTCTATGATAGCACTGTACTATATAAAAAATACAGATAGTAGGTATTCCACCTTCGTGGCTAATCGTCTGGCCGCTATTCGTCATTTAACATCTGTGGACCAGTGGGGGCACGTAGAATCCCATGAAAATCCTGCTGACTGGACATCACGAGGCATACGGAAGGAGCTAGATTTAAAGAACTGGATTGAGGGTCCTTCCTTCTTATGGAAGAAAGAGTCTGTAGGAACACTGACGCTTATGTGCGAAAACCCCCCGGAAAATGTTGAATTTAAAAGATGCCACACGACCAACGCAGTTGCGCTAAAACATAGCTCAAGTCCAATTCTGCTATATCACTCAAATTGGATAAAGCTGATTAAAGCGGTAGCATGGCTCAGAAGATACGTGATCTATGTAACCATCATGTACTCCCATCACGATGACAGGTCCCTAAGTGTGGGCTATCTGTCAGTTGATGAATTGGATGCAGCTAAACACAAGGTATTAGCCTTAGTGCAAAAGGGAGTGTATGGGGAAGCAGTTAAAGTGTCTCGATATAGTGGCGTAAGCGCAACTGTTATAAAAGAGCTAAAAAATCTTTCACCTACGCTAATCGATGGATTGCTTTGTGTCGGCGGACGATTAAATTACTCGGATTATCCACTCTCAATCAGACATCCGGCAATTTCACCCAGTCATCACTTCGTAACAGAACTTATTATTAGACACCATCATCACCTAGAAGGTCACACCGGGACATCACAAGTGTTAGTTACCATACCACGAAATTATTGGATTGTTAAAGGAACCAGTGCAGTTAAACGAGTGATAGGTAGATGTGTGAGGTGTATACGCGCGAAGGCCACATTAGGCCAACAGATGATGGCACCTCTCCCCAAGTGTCGAGTGCAGCAAGGCTGGTTTTGCTTCTCCTCCGTCGGGATAGACTATTTTGGGCCGTTGATAGTGCGTCGGAGAAGAAGTGAGGAAAAAAGATATGGATGCCTATTCACGTGTCTCCAAACACGTGCCGTACATTTGGAAGTAGCTTTCAATTTGAGTGCTGATGCTTTTATAATGGCTTTAATACGTTTCATAGGAAGGAGAGGAACTCCTAATGAAATCTATAGCGACAATGGAACTAACTTTGTCGGGGCCACTTCCGAATTACGGGCTAATATGAGTGTGTGGAACAAGCATAGAATAAACGACTTAACAGTATCGAAGGGTATACGCTGGCATTTCAACCCCCCACTAACTAGCCATCGGGGCGGAGTTTGGGAGAGGTTAATACGGTCTGTTCGGGGGATCTTACTATTTATTTCCAACGGGCAAATATTACACGATGATAGTTTGGCAACTTATTTTGTGGAGGTAGAACGAATTTTAAACAACCGCCCAATCGTTCCTGCGACGTCAGATGAAAAGGATGATTTGGTGCTCACGCCAAACACTTTGTTATTACTAAGAGACAGTGATGGTGCGAATGAGAGGTGTAGTAAGAAGAGATGTGCGAAAGCTCTGCCTTCTAGAGGGAGCCGAGTAATTGTGGATTGTAGCTTAGGTTTATGGATGTACAGGCGTACTGTTGTAAGTCCTGTGCCTCCCATTGATATATAGCAGTTAGTAAGGAGAGCCATGACAGAAATGTATTCTAAGGTGTCTTTGCGTAGCTGGAGGGATTTTGGGGGCCGGTGTAACGGAGAAAGAACAGTGAAAATCCCTCTGCAGCTTCTTTGTTGAACAGTATTTTCATTTATTTGTTCCTTCTCTCTTTTGTGTATTCCAACCTTTGTTTCGACCTCGTTTAACCATGTCTTTTGTTCTTCAGTCTTCCCCGTTTGAGCCTTTATTATGTGACTTTGATTAAAGACTTATTTTTGTTACCTAATTTTCTATTGCATGTTGCCGGACCATTGACAGTAAGGTTGTGTTTGACTAAGCTCAAGGTCACGGCGTGGTTCATTTTGTGACTGTTAACCCTCTGACTGTCTGCTTGGGAGAATTGCTGCAATCCCTGCAGATAGATATTTGATCCCATCTTATTGGGAATATTTGTATTGATTCTCAGGTATCAAACCCTTTAGTATTAACTGTCTCTTTCATTGTTTAGCGCGCTACTTAGCGTTAGAGAAACTTCTGACTGTATAGCACAGGCTGTACCGTTTGAGGTATTTTGTATTTTTGATGTAATTTGTTCTGTTTTCTTAATTAGAACCGTTTATATTGAGCACAGAGTTTGTGTTTTGATATAATATAATACGAGTATCTCAAAGACGCGTTGTGAGCTATACAGAGGAACTTGGTCTGGTCTAATCGAATAAATTTTGGGTTCGTCAGTCCGTTGTTCCAACCGAATATTGGCTGTTCGGTCGTTACACCAATGATGATGGGAGACGAGGAAGGTCATTTACATACAAGGGGAATAGCACTGGCCCCAAAACTGTACCCTGGGTCACTCCACTAAGCACAGTTTCCCAGCTAGATAACTTTGAGTTCACCCTTACTCTTTGTTGACACCCAACTAAAAAGTCTTTTATCCACATCAATAAATTGCCTCCAATCCCGACTTTTCTTAACTTATATAACAGCCGGTTGTGCGGAACTTTGTCAAAAGCTTTACTGAAATCAATGAAGGCGACGTCTACAGGTAGCTTTTGGTCCTTAAGAGCGCACCAGCTTTCACGAGCCACTAATAAGTTAGTGAGACAAGAATAACCTATTTTGAAGCCGTGCTTCTTCTCCGAGAGGATCCGGTTTTTATCGAGATACTTAAACAGCTCCTTCCGAATAATCTTTTCTAAGATTTTAACAACCACACTAGTTAGGCTAACGGGGCGATAGTTCTCAGGTTTGTGTTTCGTACCTGTTTTGAAGACAGGACTTACTATGGCGTTTTTCCAGTCTTTCGGTAAACGACCCTGCTTAACGGCTAGGTTAAAGCATGTACTTAAAGGGCTTGCAACGAAGTTAGATAATTCCTTCAGTAGCCTAGGATGTAATTCATCTGGCCCCGTGGATTTACCTATGTTAAGCTTATTTAGTAGACTAAAGAAATAGAGTTCTTTAACGGTCACGCTATCCAGTGTATGCGTGGGAGGATCTGTATGCACTGACTGGAGGGTGATTCTATGGTATATACGTTGCTAAAGTAGTTCGAGAACACTTGAGCCTTACCAAAGTCGTCCTCCACTAATGATGAAGCAGTACTGTCTCCCCATAGAGCAGGAAGATTTCCTTTTCTCCTTGTCCTTTAGTTTATATAGGAATACAAGCGTTTAGGACATTCTATGGATTCCTTAACAAGTTTTCCTTCGTGCAATTTTCTAGACTTACGGAGGGTCGAGGCACAAGTATTCCGAGCCTTTCGATACTGAGATTTTGACTCATCAGTCCCCAGTAACCTAAATCTATCCCACATTTTCCTTTTCTTACGGAGAAGGATACGGACCTCCCAACTGAACCATGGTGGTGAGTTTTTCGGCCCCTTTGGTATAGTCCAAGGGATGTGGGGTCTGGTAATTTTTAAGTATGAATTTCGAAATGCGTCCCAGGCCGTTTCAATGGAGGACACTGGGTCTATTGTCCAATCTATTAACGATGCTGAGTGCATGATGTCTGGTATGTCTGCTTTCCAGACGTTAGGTCTGGACTGGACTGACGCGTGCTCGTGACTGGCAGTCATATGGGAGTCGAAAGTTAAAACTGCGTGATCACTTTTACCTAGGGTTGGCTTTCATGAAGCGCGCCAACGGTCAAACTGAGTAAAACCATCTACATTCATATCTTTTAAATTATCAACCCACCTGAGTAATTTACGACAGTGATAATTGTATCATTTGTAAAAAATTGATCTTGCCTGTAAACTGGCATGCCTAATGTAACAAACTGTTATTTGAGAATAAATTATTATTATTATTATCATTGTTATTATTAAAACATGCATTGAGGAAATGATCAAACAGAGTGACGAAGCAATTGATAACTTGGGAGCTGATTGGAAACGAAGAAGAGGAGGATGAGGGAACACAAGTTTTCTGGAATTGCAGGTAGAGATGAAAAGAAGGAATAACAACTGTAAATAACTGGAAAGATTTGTCCAGAACAGAGTTAGATGGTAAAATAATATTGATTGAAGTGATTTTACTAGCTATCCCAGTTTGTTTCAATAATCTTGTTGAAATGTCCATAATGTTCTTTACATATGTTTCTATGCTAATCATTGGTATAGACCTGCTACAACATCATAATTTACTCATCCACACGCCGAAACTCAGGTTAGTGGACGGAAACGCTAATTTGTCAGTTTATGTAACTATTTCACCCAGTTTTAGATTATCCCCAGTCACAGTGAAATACACTATCCATATTACCAACAAATGCTTGATAAGTACTCTGAGATATACCAAACGCAACCGAAATTACCATGTGTAACCAGCCATGTTACACATCACGTCACGACTTCAAGACCACCTGTATTCTCGAGATCGCACCGACTGGCTCCTGAAAAGCTGAAGTTGGCTAAAAACAAATCCGACCATGTGATAGACTTGGAAAATATTCGACCATCAAATAGCCCAAAGGCATCGCACTTGCATTTGATCCCTCAAAAGGACAGCGACGATGGGCGATTGAATGCAAAAACATTCTCGATTGTTACTTGTTGCTCACATTCGCGACTTGACAACTACCTTAAAAGGTACAACTGTTTTTTCGAAAATCGACTTGGTCAAAGCACAATAAACAAATTTCTATGACCACTGACTACATGCCAAAAACCGCTATCATAACTCCTTTCGGTCTTTACGAATTGTCGCGAATGCCTTTCGGCCAAAGAAATGCTGCTCAGACTTTCAAAAGTTTTATAGATGATGTTTTTCGAGGTCTAAAACTCGTACATGAGTGTGTCGGTGATTGCTTGATAGCAAGTCCGGACAAAGAATCCCATCTTCAGCATCTGGACCTTGTCTTCAAACAACTACGAAATCATGGCACTACTGTAAACATTCAGAAATGCCAAATCGGAACTGACTCCTTAGATTTCCTCGGACACACTTTCGATGTTCAAGGGATTCGACCTTTATGAAGTAAAGTGGCGGCCATTCTGGATTATCGAGAACCGATTATAATTGAGCAATTGCGCACGTTTAACGGCCTTGTAAGTTTCTATAGACGGTTTATACCAAACTGCGCCCCCATATGAAACCTGTAACCGACCAACTTCGTAGAGACGCGAAATCAGTTTGGATGAGATCGCGAAAAAGGCATTCTCCACAGTTAAGGGACTTATAGCCAAAGCAACATGGTTCGCACACCAGGACACCCAAGCACTCATTAGTATAGCAGAAGATGCATCCGACATGGCAATTGGAGGAGCCTTAAAACAATTGGTTAACCACAACCGGCAACCTTTAGAATTTCTCTTGAGAGGGTTGTTAGACATCGAATCGAGGCATAGCACTTTGGGGAGGAACTCCTAGCCATGTATTGTTCTTTATGGCACTTTCAACATTCTATGGAAGACCAGTAATTCACTCTTTTAACTAGTCACAGATCTCTTACTTTCTCTTGAAGCTCATCCTCAGACAAGTACTTCCCTTGAGAGTTTCAACAACTTGACGAAATTTCTCAGTTCGCTTCAGACATACAATCCATTTCTCGGGCAAACAATGTAGTTACAGACGCCTTGTCTCGCATAACTTCCTAGAACATTTTTCAAGGAATCGACCTTCTGAAACTCACTTAGCTTCAAAAACAAGACGCTGACGTTCGGCACGAGCTATATACGACAAATCCGTAACTACTTTTTTAAACAGGTGCGAACAGGTAAGAAACCTTACTATGTGACACATCTACTGGTAAGGGTCGCTCAATCGTGCCGAAACATTATCGATACAACGTCTTCAATACGTTGAATAAACTTTCTCATCCAGGTGCTCGTACAACCATTTAGCTCATGGCAGGAAGATTTTGCTGGCATAGTATGGATAAAGACGTGAGGGAGTGTACGCGCTCCTGTGTAGACTGCCAGAAATCTAAAGTGAGTGGATATAACAAATGTCGCTTTAGCTCTTTCGCTCATACTGACGCTCATATCGACCATGTTCATCTGTATTTGTTGAGACCGCTACTAGATTCGAATGGATAATCTAGTGTAGACTATCTCATTCGATAACCAGAATCAGTACTCAACGAGGAACTTACTTCTGAAACAGTGGCCCGTGACAACGAGTGGCAAAATTCGACTGCCCTTCAACTATCACTACAGACCGTGGACGCCAGTTCAAATCTGAACTTTTCTGTGCCAGGCTACACTATTAAGAATCACACGATTCCAAACAGCCGCTACCACCCACAAGCAAACCGGTTGATAGAATGCTTTAATCGACATCTCAAAGCTGCACTCCCAGCCGCAAACGTTTCACAGTGGACGGACGCCCTTCCGCTTATTTTACCCGAAATTCGCAGGACAGTGAAAGCTGACATTGGATACAATGCAGTTCAACTCGTTTATGGAACGACACTTCGACTTCCATGAGATTCGTGGATATGTAGTGGCATTGGGCCCTAACCACACAATTCTCATAGCTGAACACGAGACAACTAGGTAAGTAGACATTCAACATTTAACGCGTAGAAAAACCCAGCGACGTGGCTTGGTCTTGCTGGCGCGGATTCAAAATGTTACACAAATAGGCTTGCGAACGCCATGTGTTCAACTATTCGTCCAACCTCTCCCACAATATAGTATACACGTCTTTGTACGTCGCGACTCACTTCACAGACATCTCAAAATTGGCGTACAAAGGACTCTTCAAGTCTCTTTAGCGTGAACCTAAATACTATATATTCGATAAGAACTTAACTGACGATAGCATCAGAATGGATCGTCTCAAAGATGCATATTTAAAGTGAAATCATATTCTTGTTGATTTTCCTTTAATACGATCGAAAGACACAAGTATCAGAATCATGATAACTTACCTTTTCAAGACTGTGCAACACAAGGGACTTTATTACAGATATATATTAGTTGAAGTAGATACAAGCTAAAGTAAGACTACCACATGGGCCAGTCCACGGAGTACGATTAAGTGAGGCGCGTTGGTTATACTTGACCTTGACAGGGACCGATGACATGGTCGATATTCAGTAGTTCAACTGCCGAATGATTTGACTAGGGCTCAGTGACATTTCACTGACTCTACACGGGAAATAAATCCTTAAAATCAATATCTCCGTAAGTCTTCGACATGTTATACTGACCACATTAGTTTTAAGGGGCCCACGTAGCTGAAGGCGCTTGGTCACGCATATGCATCAGATCACGAGTGGACACAACGTGCTACTCATCTTCTACAACTATTAACCAGCTCAGATTAGTCATTTCTCGACAATATCAATATTCCACAAAATATATTTTTGAGTCTCGTCCCTCTGACTTCTGATTTCCCTGGGATTGCAGGCTTCGACTATAATAGAGGTTACTGGTCAAAGTGTTGTTAAACGCCGAATAATTGTCGCATTTCTAACTGTATAAAATGTTGCCAAAACTTTCACATGGGAATGTGCTACTGTAGGTTTTATTTAGCCAAAAAACCAGCAGAAAACTTCACTATTTGTGGATCGGTTGAAGCATTAACACCGTTGGATGCCGACTCAGTAGTCTAATGGTTAAGCGCTCGCAAGGTGGGATCGTGGGTGCGCACTGATCAGGAGTCTCACAACGGGACGAAACGGCCGTCCAGTTCTTCCAGGTTTTCTATAGTGGTCTAGCTTTACTTTACTCATGACTTTAACTATTGAGATTGCTAAAATCTCCACAAAACCCCTTCTGATTCTGTACCTAATGCACAGGTGGTATTATGAGTATGAAACATATATTCCAGTTTTATAACCGAATTGCATTAGCGTGGCCAATAGGTGGTAGATTAACTAGTTATCTAAAGGTCTATCTTTTCAGAATCTCTTATTCCTTCATAATTCCTCGTGAATGTTATTCGAAACGAGATTGGACCTCCACAGTATTACAAACTGCAAGGATTGACATAGGTTGATAGACCTCCTATCTTTATTACTGAAGTAGTCCAACTGCGACATGTCGCAGACTACAGATATAACTTATACACCCACTCTCTAGTAGTATCTCAAGTCGAAAAAGATTTAGGAGTCCTGGTGCCCCATGACTTAAAGTCTTACGCTAACTGTGACAAAAATGCCTTCCGAGCAAACCTTGCACTGGTAACGTTGAGGCGCATTTTTGGCCAGTTTGACGGAAGAACTTTCCATATAATCTTCAATAGTTTCATCCGTCCCCATTTAGAGTACGGAAACATAGTACTCCCCCCCTCACTCCAAAAGGACAAGGTCACTTTGGAGCGTATCCAACGGCGAGCCACGAAATCAGTTCGAGGACTCAAATCTAAGCCTTACGAAGAACGCCTCCGTTCACTAGACCTTTACCCACTAGAATATAGGCGTCTTAGAGGTGATTTATTAGTGGCTTATAGTATTCTTAACACTTCTGGACATCCTCTTAAACACCTTCTTAAGCTTAGTTCGAATAATAACCTAAGGGGTAACACCCAGAAACTGGAAACACAACATAGCAAGACGGAATGTACACACAACTTCTACTCCTTAAGAGTTGTCAAAATCTGGAATTCGCTGCCAGCCGAGCTAGTCCAAGCGACTTCTCAGGAGTCCTTCAAGAGGCAACTTGACCTATTCTTAAGAACCAAGGACAGCATCACACTATGATTTACCAATTTCTTTTCCTCTTTTATTGTTAACATACCTAGGTTCCTGCCTGGAGGATTTCGTGATCCCCTGCTACTAGACACGGAAGCCTGTTAAGCGAAAGCTTCTTCTATTCCGTCCACAACCATTTGAACCATTTGGACTGAAGTCTACAACTTGGAGTTAAATGTACAATCATTTAGGATCAAACTAATGACAAGGATTTGTGGTCGGTTTGAAAGACATCCGAACAACCTAAAGTTTCGGATATCAGTTTGTCCTAATCTCACGCTTATATTATTTCTGATTTTTATTGATTCCTTTTATCATCAAGTATGTCAGTGCTACAGGTGTTGCAAGTGGTGATGGAGGTAGGATTCCAAACTGCTCTCCTTCGGAATGGTGCTTCAAGTCAGCACTTTAGACCGCTCCGTTACTACACACTTCGCGTTTCACATCTGTGTAACATGAGTAAACAGTGTCCACTGGGATATAGGAGAGATATACAGCGCAACAAGAGACGATAGTCAGTGAATACTCGATAAAAGAGGACATGGTGTACCAGCACAAATGAAATTACGCAGTTACTGTGCAAAAAGAAGGGGATGTACGAAGTAGTCTCACACATCATTCCGAAAGCTCAATGTACGCTAGGTTTGCCTATTTTCCAACAAACCGTTTGCCCCTTTTCGACTAGGAATATAATGGGATAGATCCCTATTATCAATATCATGCATAATAATTATAACACTGTTTTATGTGAATAACCCTTCAGGGCTGCTTTTGGTCCCAAAGTAGCTCGATGAACTCATAACGACAGTAATGTAACTTCTTAAATCTTGTTAGGACCAAAAGTGTTATAAAACAGTGAAATTTATTAGGTCTAGGTTTTAGAAGTTGGGTTTTTTAATCACGAAAGTAAGCAAATATTTCAGGTGTTATTGCAGTCTTAACCTTGTATTAATATCCCATAGTATTACAAATATCTTGCTGGCCCTATTCATTTGAAAAACTATTTTCATCCATATATATGCTCATTTACGAAAATAAATAGGATATTACACTATGGATTTTTACGAAGAATCCAACTAACCATATGGCTACAAAGTATTCTTAAAATATAGCTGTTGTCAGTTCATAATGAGAACACTGACTCAGAGTTCTAATCCTTAGTTATAGTCCTATAATGATAGTTCATACATGTTTCGTGTTTTTTTTATCAACTGAATGGTCAAAAATCTTTTGATTGTTTTATGACGATTTCTTGTTTTACGTTTTCCTTGAACTTCAGCGTGTCGTTGAAGATCACTTATAGTTCAGCTCTGCCATCTACTCTAAATTCTCACTTTATTAGTATAAACTTTAGAATCTACATGTATTTCTTCGCTAACGTAATAGGGAACATCAGTGCATAAATTCACTTGGTTCTAAACCAACATTTCCTTGTTAATGTATTAGTACCTACTGGAGATAAAATTCAGTAATTATGAACGGTAAGGGGACTAGACCCCCCTCAATTTGCTTAAATCCATATCGTCTTGATCCCTTATAATATCACAGTTGATGTAAGGTTGCTTTTGGAATATATATCAAGGTATTGTTATCTAACCCGTAAATGATACATTAAGGATTGCTCTTACTTGTTCGTGATAGTTCACTAAAGTTCTTACATCTTTGAGTAGTCGATGTACTACATTTTATATATCTACTGTATTTAAGTTACAATCATACTTTTGTTTAATACAATTTCGGATCCCATTTTAAGTCCGAAAAATTAGCTGGAATATTACTGTTCTCATGTCAGGTCCTACAGTCATTCTGTTCTACATCGTTCTATCTTACATTTATCTGTCTATGCAAAGAGAACAAAAAGTCAAGTTGAATATATCTTTTCTTCCGTGCAATTATTGAAAACATTGGAGCAATGCTTAAGGGAAACGAAAGTTATTGTAATACTAGAAATGGTAGAGAATCACATGTATAACAAGCTGCTAACCTATCAATATTCCGTTAAGGGATTAGCATACGTGTACTGCTCTATCTCATGCGGTGTTTCACTCCTACGGCTATCTCTGTTATTTAAACAAGTCTCAACTGTCATCATTGTAGAAAATAATTTGTTTGAAATGGTCTTATATAGACGACTCAGTCCTGCCGAATTTTTAACGGCTGATGGAAAGAATAACACGAGTTACAAAATAAACAATAAATAGTCAAGATACAACCAGTATGGGGAGTTTACGAACTAACCAAGCCTCAAATATCAATTATGCCTCTCCTAACCTTTTATTACTTATGTTGGTAAAAAACTACTGAGATTGCCATCAATTACGACTATTTTTCTGTGAAATAGTATCCCGTACTTGAAAGTAAACACATTTACTTTTATTAGAACAGTAGCTTATTATTTTCAGTGTTTGTAAGTTTTCAACACACCGAATCGAATAATTCGAAAGTTTAACTGCCTATGACTGTTGGGATACAGTTCTTCCTGAATAAATTTAGTTCTGTTAAAAACCTAACAAAATCTGTATATACATTTCTCCGTTTATAGTAAAACTTTCGAATTTGTCTGACGTCGGGAAGTAAGTACGTTGTGTGATATAGGCATCACCATCTGTTTTGAAACACTAACAGTAAACTAAGTAAATGCATTTTGCTGATTACCATGTGACCTTATTTTACTCGTGATAAGTTTCTATAGTGCTCTTCATTCTTACAAGGTTTACGAAACTGTTATTATGAGATCATAGTAAAGGTTTTTTATTAATCCAATTGACTGTTGGTTTTTTGCATGCATATTGTTTTTCGTTTACCCTCACATTACCATGTTAATGTAGGATAATCAGATGTACAAAAACAGACTAATAACATTTTCCAACAAACATTTCACAAGAACGCCACCTTATAGTTTTTTATTTGAAAATTATATTGTCACACCTATTTCGCTTTATTCCATTGCAAGCAGGACAACTCAAACATTGATTCACGTCTCATTCTCCGACTGACCAGTATTTCTCAAGCATAAAGAAGTATCAGAGTAACTGTTAATTTCAACCATTTAATGAAAGTTCCGTGAGTACAAACATACATGTGGAGAACGTCAGGCGATGAAAGGTCGAAAAAGTCGGATTATGCAACACCTATTAAAGCTCCACACAAATACGAAAAGAGTCATGTTAAGAAACCTCATTTATCAGGGAACCGGTGTAGTGGTGCTCCACTTCAGACACCATCGTCGTCTCACTCCTTTCCTGATATAGATGATGTCTCACTTACAATACTATCTCGTAATAATAAACACTCAAAACAGATTGACAGGACAAAAGTCAGTAATACCGTTCCCAAAACATTGAAAGAAAGTAATAAATCCACACAAGTCATCCGTGCAAAGACCCCGACCAGGGAATTATCTCACATCAGCATTACAAATAAATGCATGACTTCTGGGAATGCTGGCAACAGGAAATCAAAGAAAGTATCTAATTGTAATTTGAAAATCCCAAGGTCCTCTTTAAATAGTATGAAGTTCAACTCCCCATTTGTAAGAGGATTGGAAGAATTTATAATTACGGATGATGAATCGAAAGTCACAACCCCGTTACGACGTCAGAAAGCTCTTTCCGAAAAGCATATTGAAAGGATAGGTAAACCACATGAAGTGATTAGGACTAAGCGACATACTCCTCTTAAACGCTCTATTTTGAATGAGCGCGCTATCCGCAAGAGTCAGCGAAGTCATTCACTCCCAGCCCCTGTAGGAATTACTTTTGATTCCACTGAATCTCCTAGTGTGACGAAAATCACAGAGGTAACTGACGTATTCAATAGCTTCAGTTTTGTAGTTCCGTACTCCTGATAGCTTTAATAATTCTCTAAAAGAACCCACTTCTTCATCGGAAATCGAAAAGTATCTTGTTAGTGAGTTGATTTCACGATTGGTTACATTCCAAGACAGAGCATATGTAACCCACGCTAATAACTCCTTTCATCTCAAGAGAACAAAGCGACTTGTTTGTGGTTTTCATGAAGTAATCAAACACTTAAAGTTAAAACACATGCGAATTGTCTTCGTGGCCCGCGATCTTGAAGGAAATGCTACCAGTTTTTTATGGCAAGATAAAAGTGAGTATTAGTAATTATTCAGTAATACTCTTTAGTCTCTAGTTGTATAAACGTTTCTTTAGTTGAAAACTCAATGGCTTTTAAGGTCAATGATGTCGAAGAAGGAAGGGTGAATACTTAGGCTTGCCGTGACCACCTAATTAGATTCATATCGAAAATTTCATGTCTGTATTTTCGGAAAGTTACCGCGAGGTTGTCTGGGTTTTAGTACACAAATAAACTGTACTTTTAGTCCCCCCCAAACCTAAATTTCTCAAACGAAGATCAATAAATACCTATCTTATATGTTATTGTACCTGAATATGGTTTCGCGATCACAGATACCAAAGATTAGCTTCTCTCTGGATATTTCTCTAATTGTCGTTAATCTTCTTATTAGATATTCTTCATACTTTCTAGGCTATGACAACTTATTTGGTGGTGAAACGTTTCGCATTGAGTTTGTTCTGGATGATTGCTAATCTCTTTGACACCGTTTTGACCTTAGTTTGGAATCATGTCACATCGTGAGGCCAACTCTGCTCTATGTTTGCGAAATCTTGATTACACGAGTAAAATTGTTTTGGTTTGACATGGTACCCAGGCTATGTATGTAGTAATTCATCAGTTGGCAATTTCCCTAGGAATGGGATGTACTTTACACCTAAATGCAAAGTACTTCTATAAGACCAATAGGAGTTCGTGTTTACACTCACTACTGGTGGCGGACCATTAAAGTAATCGAAAAATTTGTTTGGGTGATTGCGTTAGTGCTGATAATGTAAGTGATCAGATCAATTTACGTATGGTAAAAGCCAGAATGGCTTATGCTAATCTAGGTCATCTTTGCTGCTGTCATGATGTTAGTATAGCTATAAGAGGTCGGGTTTGCAAAGTCGATGAGGGTAGTTTTGCTCTATCATTGGAAAACCTGAGCTGTACAAGTTTAAGATGTTAAGCGACTCTCTGTGTTCGATCATTGTCTCTGAAGTGCTGTTGATGTTCACTGACAATGCTGTTGCTTAGTGTTGTCCAAGCGCAGTAGTGATAACTCAATTGGTGTTGCCATCCTGAAACATCGGCCTTCGTAGAGCAGACATGTTTTACGAATGTTAACTCGACGGCTTGTACATCGGACCCTGGGACTGACTGGAAAAAGCGAAGAGGTGGTCTTTTTAGGATATAGTGCCGGGGTATGAAAGGAAGCTAAGACTGGCGCCCGTCGGTCCTTCACGACTCCTTGGTTAGGGCCCGAGAGACGATGGGTTTCATTGGCCTGAAACCTTATCGGACATTAATCCAAATAGAAACCACTGGTCAGCCTGAAATAGTTTTCCTTTACATTATTCATAAATATGAAACGGACTTAACCAAGAGGAGTATTATTCAGATGTATTGTTAACTGAACTGTTTCTTCCATTATATAATAATCTTGATTACCGATAGTTCTTCTCAGCTCTACTACTTCCGCTTTTCTTTTCTTTACAGCTACATGTTTGTGTTGTTTGGTACATTGTATTTTCGGTGCCAACTTATCCCAAATAATATGTATTAAGTAAAATAATGGCTTCCGATTCCAACGGGATAATAGGTAAACGTATGTTAGTAGAAATAGTGGTTAGTCAGTACAGATTCATATTTAACACTTGCGGTAATCAACCCACTCGAACACACCGCTTCCCTCTCGAGCAAAAGGTTTTATCATGAATTGAATGAAACCAATCAGTATCATTTAGTGACGTTAATGTGTGCTTACTATCCATGGCGTACAGCTTATTGACTAATAAATAGTTGCTCATAGGTGGCATTCTGAAAGCATTTTCAATATTCTGACTAATTCTCTTCAGTAATTTTATATTGGTGAGCTTTTTCGATCAAATAATCTGTCCTTTTATTATAATTTTCAGTTACATATGATGAAAAGGAAGCTGAAAATAAGATAGTTCTTAGTGCATTGGAAAAAGTACTCTGTCAGATCTGGGAACTTGCAAAAGAATGTGACCCGCCGGTACCAATAATCATTACCCATACAAGGAAAAAATTAGCACATTTATGTCATAAACCAAGATTTGTATCTGTTGTAGGAATTATAAACGCCGATGGAGCATATGAAGTTGAAAAAAAGCTGTTAGATATGAAATCTGGAGTTAATTTAAGATGTACAACAAGTCTGGGGACTGTTCAAATAAACACAGTGAATGAGCTCACTGTAGGAAACTCAAATGCTACAATTATCGTAAGTACTTTGGTGATACATTTGATTTTCTTTGCCCAGCTCGTGTATGGTAATAGGGTATTATCTCAACAATAAATATTTCCATAGTCCTAAAGAAAATTGCCCAGATATCAATATACTTCAATTTCCTCACGTATGTCCACCCAAAAGTATGCAACACCCAATTCCAAACCTTCCACAGGTTACCGCTATAGGTTGTATGGTAAATTTATCATATGAATATTCTAGTTGTTTTCCCGAAATTAACTGTAAAACCTAATTAGGGATTTTGACCGATTTAGGTACCTTTCTTCCAGTAGGTTTTCCGCGGTTTTAAACGTCAATCCACTCACTGGGTTTTAACCCTCAGAATAGTATTACCAGTCCTTAGAAGAAACGATCCTAAGTGTTTTACGCAAGCTTATTTATTGTTACTATATCTCGCTATATATATATATATATATAACAATTATGAAATTTGGTGAGACGTAAATAATTATTTCTTAACACCAAAGAGAAGGCATAATACCGAGAGTAAAGAAAGGATAAACTGTATCGTAACTATTCTATTTAAAATATTTGTTGTTATTGGTTCAAAGCTACACTGCTTAGTATATTTAAATACTAATTCCTGTTGTCATAATTCTATCACCTTGTCAACTGGGAATTCCCTTTAATTTGGGAACTAGTTAAGTCGATCGAACAGCTTGACTAATATCATATTTGAAATTAACCGATATAATCCTTACAATTCTTCAATATACAGGTTACTAAAGTCTTTACGATAATAGATATCAGTGCAAATACATGTTCTTCGGCCGATTCCATTGAAACAGTTCTACATAACACAACTTTTGAAATTTAGATCTGCGGACCAGAACTCAACACTGTATCAGCAGCTATTCGGCTTCCAGTTTTACTGGGATTGCGATCTTAACTGACATAAAGATTATTAGTAATATGTGATAGTCACACATTTTACTGTAGTCGTTTGAACGGATGGTGTAAAAAAGGCTGTACATCTCAGATGTGGCCCTTATTTGTTCACTGAATATTTTGTTTTTAATTTTATGTTTAACGCAATTGAACGTTAATCAGTTAGTAACAGTTTCTCTTTACTTTGAAAAACCTGTTATTATCATTACTCTTCACATAAACAGTGTCGTCCGTAGCCAAGTCAATTAAACCTGCGTATTGTAAGTTTCAGTCTCCATATGATTATGGATTATTTTAGGAGAATTACCCACCAAGTATATATCTTACTATCTATATGCCAATACCTCCGTATAATTACATTTTTACTCTGTGATTTTATTTTGCCAGGAAAAGTTGCGGTGTTCCGTTGAATCTATCAACATTAAGTGATTAGCTTTTGTTTGAAGTCAAATGTCCGTATCTCCCATCACTACCGATGATCGATAAATCCCCTTCTTCCATATTGTACATAGTTTGTTTAACTTGTGTATACTTCAGTTGACTTTGTTTCTTCCAAATAAACTGTAAACGACTCTTCTACGTTGATTCTTACTATCGTCTAATAATGCTCAACCCTATTGAACTCAATCATTAAAATAGTTTGTAACCGTAATTACGTGCAGCGTGACAATCCACATTCTGATAAACAAAATATGGTTCGATTTCCGCTATCCAAAATTTAAGATTCAAATGTCTAATTTAGCGATGTACAATATTGTCATATCAGAACGACCGAGATATAAGCCCTAGTTAATCACATAATGTTATACTTTCCATCGAAATACGCACTACGAATGAAACATGATTTTATTGAACGTCAAGTGCATCAATGGGATTAGACGTTACTTTGTTATGTGAAATATTTAAGGACCTACACTTTCCGTTTACTTTTCATTTCTTAATAATGTAGATTGTAGGGAAGAAGCTGAGTTTCAAATTTATAATACACAATGCCGAACATTGCTGAAACAACATTCAGGTACTGTATCTTCATTTTTATAACCTTATAGGCTGATGTACCATAGATTTCTGGGAATAACTGTTGTTGGATCTTCACATGTTTATCGTGAGGTGACTATACTTACAATTATATTTCAGCTTAATTCTTCATGTCAAACGATACCAATGTTAAGTGCAGTCATATTTTGCTATCAAAAGATGACTAGATGCTAAACTGCGGCTTAAACTAAGTGTTACGACCATTCAATGAAGGTCTAATTTCCTCAATGATAGGATCGAGTTGATAGCATGTGTTGCGAGTATGATTTGTGGGGGCTGGTATTATGCCGAGCCCACATGTTATCCTAGACCAAAGTCTAGGATCAATCTACTCATTCTTAAGCCATATTTTTATCCTGCCAATTATTCGCTTATTAATCCTGACTGACTTTCTGTATGGTCGTATGTGTGTCTGTAACTCATTTTTCGTCTGATTATAAATACTGAGTCACGCTTGGGTAAATCGAATCGACTCACTTGTCTTCTCCATTGCGCCATTTTGTTTTGCTTTCTGATCAACGATTGTGTGGAATACATGTATTCGCAATTCGTTCTATTATTTGACTTATTTAATTCAGTTATCCACTAATGCGATTTAAGTGGATGACTATACACACGAAGATCGGTGGGATGTACATTTCGATAACAAGCAGAAAACCATCTTGAAAAGAGCAAGAACAAGGATTCTAGCAGAATAACATGAATTCATTTTATTTCGTAGGTTCTCGTCGTCTGCTTACAACCTGTGGTATTTAAAAGATAATAATTACATAATGGGTTTAAATTGCTTACATGAGAGGGTTTATATTGAAGAAATATTCGTAAAGTATGACATGGGTGTTTATTTCTAACCCTTTTGAACTGCTGTCACGATTACTGCTCTAGAATATTCTTTCACATTAGGTATATATTTACAATATTCAGCCTATTAATTTCATTTACACCCATGTCATACTTTACGAATATTTCTTCAATATAAACCCTCTCATGTAAGCAATTTAAACCCATTACGTAATTATTATCTTTTAAATACCACAGGTTGTAAGCAGATGACGAGAACCTACGAAATAAAATGAATTCATGTTATTCTGCTAGAATCTTTGTTCTTGCTTTTTTCAAAATGATAAAGGGAACTATGTGTATGAGAAAACCATCTACATGGAGTCAAATGTCGAGCCACTTAAGACTTACTGCTAATTTTATACTTAATTATTTTCTACCAATCGATGGGACCCGACCGATGTTCCCGTCAAGACATGTTTGTTTATACGTGGATTTCTTGAAACGGGATAATCAGGACACTAAGTTTTAGCTTCACAATTAAACTATAAGCGTTTTCGAAATCAAACAATCATTACTTCCTAAATTAGTGAACGGCGAATCCCAACGTTCTGATCAAAACGCGATCCTACAACAGTGATGTCTTAGAACCACTCAATGCAAAGTATAAACATATAAACCCACATTAAAAATCTTTGTTTACACTGTTCTTAGAAAGCTGGAAGTAAGGAAATGCAAAGTGGAAATCTGTACCACAAATTAGTGTGAATAATAAAAACAGAGTATAACAAGCAAAATATGTAACTTATATTTCATTAACCTAGTCCATACGCATTTTCAAGTCGGAAATCGTGACTGCGTCCTTTTCTCTGGAAAATTAAATAGCAAGAAAAGCATCATGATAAGTAGTAAACGACGAGACAATCAAATAATGATTTTTTTTATTGTCTTCAAGAATCTGAGTGATTGGAAAATATCCAAAAGCTACTATACGTACAAACTGCAAGGAATGAGCTTTACGATCCTGAAAGGAAACATATTTCACGAGGACTTAAACTACAAAACTTAGAAGCATAGAGATCTATTTATTACTGTCTCATATGAATAAACACTACTACAGTTCAAGTTACCATGGCACATAAGTTCAAGAAAATATTAATTGAGAACCACAAAGACACTCAACGAATCCTTGATTAGCTATAAATTAATGATAGCCAGAATTACATATTTTGATGTGTGACTGTGATAATCTAATTTATTGGTGAATAACTAACTAATTAGTAGGATATTTGAAGTTTGACTCTTACAAGCAAACTGATGAATACAATATACTTTCTACTTATTAGGCGTTGAAAATTTTATACATGGGACAGTTATCTGCTAAAAACCACCACTTCCCGAAATCTTGTTCCCCATCAATTACTTTTTTGGTTTACATTTTTCGCACATTAAATTAGCTTACCTATTGGCCCCTACAGCATTAACGTTATATAGGTTCTTATGAAAGTGACGTCTTAACCAGTGGATTAACGGTTAAACGTTTTATTACTTAAATCAATACTTTCAGCGTAGAATCTCAAAGATCCTAAGCTTGAACCTGTAATTTCACACAAAACTAACACTAACATTCTTGTGATCATTTGGCAATGGTACCCTATATGATGTAGTTATATATGTATATCGTGTTAGTTTACCTGGTGATTTATAATCTAGGTGAATAAAATCCATTTATTAGTCAGTATTAATATGGTTTGATGGGTTTCTTTAGTCCAAACAGACCGAATCCGATCGCAAACACATGGTAAGTAGAAAAGCACGGAAATGGTTAGCCTTACTGCCAGTGACCAAGGTCACTGTCTACATATTTGTTTACATCACTCCAGTATCATGCATATGTACACATGACTTGGGTAATACTCAATTCGTTTTTGCCTATAAACCTGCTTATGCATAGTTCTCTCACTCCGAAAAGTTGGTTGCAAAAATGATGGAGAAAGTGTATCGTTAACTGGATTAAACCATACAGTTATCCATGGTAACTACTGTTTTGTGGAAATTTGTACAATTTTCTGGCTGTGGTTTATTTTATCTTTCTAGATATTCATTAATAACTCCTGTTTTACATGTTCATTCGGGAAAACATTTTTAACACCAATAAACTTTTGTACAAATCTGATTTGCAATCGACACCATTTTAGAAATTGTCTTAGCGCCCAGGACATTGACGATAAATCTACAGCTTCTCAATATCTGATTAGCATTTAGTGACAACTAAATATTATTTTTAAATGTTTTAGATATCAAAATTTCGAGGACATGGCTAGTTACATAACAAGTACCTAGTTAAGATTTCAAACCCAGAGTATTAGAGACAACTATTGGGCTTCAAAACCGTTTTTGTCAGCAGTATGTTAAATATATGTTTAGTGAGACCGTGCTTAAAACGAACACAAATGTTCTGTATACTGAAAATACTTGCATACAATTTATAATATCAGTTGTAAACACGCTTGATATAAGAATACTGCGGTCGACTTCAGATAGATTATCAGGCTGGCTTCAGACCTAATCGTGGCTGCATCGACCACAGATTCACCATTTGTCAGATCCTAGAACATACATGCTTATTGGTGTCCGACAATGGTGGTCTTTCTTCACAGCATTCGACTTGATAGACCGAGAGGTTTTATGGCAGTGTTTGTCATTGAAAGGCGTACCTCAGAAGTACATAAACCTTGTAAAGGCTTTTTGCTCGAACACTACTAGTGGAGTCAGAGCTTATGGTGAACTGTCATCTGATTTCGCAACCTTGAGTGGTGTCCGACAAGACTGCTACTACAAATTTGTTTAATTTCATCATAGACCTACTGCTGGAAATAACGCTCTCGTCGTCTGAATTTTCAGGAATTGATCTCCTATTAGGAGATCCACTTATCGACTTAGAATACGAAGATAATAGTCCTGTTTGGTGAAGACGCTGATTAAAACAGTCTTCTGATAGCACTGGGCAACAATGCCTGGATGTTTGGGATGCGGTTCCCTTCTCTTTAAATGCAAGTTGTTGCTTCAGGATTGGTCTGCGTCAACACCTGAACTAAGGATAGGCAGTGAGGTAGTCGAACGCGTTGACAACTTCACTTATCTTGAAAGTCTGATCAGCCCTAATGCGTTGGTGTCTGACAAAATCTCAGCACGGATTCGAAAGGCTCGTTTGACCTTTCCCAACTTACGTCACCTATGGCGAAGGCGAATATATCTGTCTATTAAAGAACGAGTATACTGTGCAGCAGTCCGTTCTGTTCTACTTTACGGCTTCGAAATGTGCCCATTAAGAGTAAAGGGTACTAGTAAGTTACTAATGTTCGATCACATATGTCTTAAAAATATTATTCGTATTTGCTGAGATCACTGGGTAAGTAAAAGTGAGGTTAGACACAGATGATTGTGGAATGATGGTAAACCAGTTGATGAGGTTGTGAATCCTCATGGGTTGAGATGGTTGGGCCACGTATTACGCATGCCCGACCACCGAATACCACATCACGCAAAGCTGACTAGTGTTGGAAATGTATGGAAGTTAGGGGCAGCCAAGACAAAACGTGGCATTATTCCATAAAGTCACTAACTTCTGATCTGAACCATGTTATTAGATGCAGATTACTGGGTCGGAGTTCACGCCACCATCGAAACCAGTGGTTGGAGACTCTGGGTGATATGGCTCAGAATCAATCGCGGTGAGTAGGTGTGTACACTTCTCATCTTCATTTAAACCGTGAGATTGAAATTTCCTTCTTTCTGTATTATATCCTTATATAGAGTCTTTCTTTTATTTATTACTACCATCAAAGTAACTACTTTATGAATTTGGTGTTCATCGTGTTGGGCTAATGAGGTATGGCCAATTGGACCGACGCATATATGTGCCTGGTCCTATGTTGTAGATGACTGGCCGACTGAGATCACCTAAGACATCAAAACATTTTTTGGAAGCTTCTCTAACAAGAAATATTAAGTTAGTAAAAATATGATTTACTGACGGACTAAGAACTGTTGTGTTCGTAGGCAAAATTTAAAACACAATAGCTGATAGCTTTTACCCTATTACAAACCAAATATAAATCGTCTATGTTTAGTTCTTAAAATTGGCAAACTTGTCTACCGTGTTACCGCAAAGTGAATAAGAGGCATGTAAGCGGAATCACAAAAAGATACTTGATCCAGATTTTACTTAAACCGTTAAGTGTTTGTTGAGCGTACTTGACGTGATTTAAGGCATAGTTAAAAATGTTTTGTATGGCTAAAAGGTATTTTCCACTCTAACCGTAATTCTAAACACTAACTCTTAACTCTAACCTTCTCAAACCGTACTCCAAACCCCAACTTTTACCCATCTATTTTAATCCAGATACTTATGCTCAGCCGTTTCGTTTGTCGTAGTAAAGTAAAAAATTCCTCATGTAAATGTTCACTAGTCATGTCGAAAAGGTTTATCTGTTGAAGTCTATTACTTTTTATCGTGAATCGCCACGTTACGAAATACTACTCTTTGACTGGTAAGCTGCTCAAGCTCACCAGGATAGTACTTCTTAGCATTAAGTTTCGTGTCATTTAAAAAAAAAGTAAATGACTTACATTAAATAAACTCGGGCACCCCAACCAGATACAGCGTCGCGATTGAGGGCATTCAAGATGCACTGTGAAATGCACTCAAATAACTCTTTCGAATTCTGAAACAAACAACAAGAGAGGTCAGTGCTTGACTCTGTCATACACGGTTGTTTCGCCTAAGTTGGAGTCTGCCAATACCGTTTTGATTACACACAATCCTAAGGAATTTTACAAGCAAACATTTATTAACAGTTGTGCAGAGCCAGTAGTACCGAGTTTTTTCAAATCAGAAGCAAAGATGGGTCCAGAAGTTTATTCCATATTAAGGTAGGTTGAGACTAATGGGTCAGAAACATTCAGTAGGACAGTAGTCATCGTAACCGGAGGGGGGTTGTTTGACTAACTGGGATAGCGTTTTTTAATGAACCATTGTAGTACAGATGAATCCCTGGCTAATTAGACGAGTGAAAGGCTAAGTTTGTTTGACTACAAAGTTCTATGCACCACAATATTTGACGAGATTGGTCCATTTTTTAGCATACCGAGTGAAATCAAGTGACAAACATTTTGCTAGGATGATATAAACAGAAAAAAGTACTGAGATAGGAGTGTAGAACCTAGGGTCATAAGATTGACGGATTGGCACAAAAAGTGCAGATTTCAAAAACGTGCCTAACAAAGTTAACTACAAAACTTGATAATTTAGAGGTACTAGACAAAGATTATAGAAGTGGTCCTAAAAGCTCCGTGTGAATAATTGGTGACTTATGAGGCCAAGTCACTTTATTTTCTTTCGCTCCACGTTAAAACAAGGAGTATATGAAAAGTAGCGTTGACACTAACAGTCATACACAATCCATCTTTCTAGATTTATTATATTCTACATATTTAGTTAACCATTCAAAGCGTATGGGTAATTTAGACGCATCCATACGTGTGACTGGAGAGTAAATCGTGATGTACAGGAAGATGGCATTAATTCACAACTCGACACCAAAATACAGACTTAAGTAGCTACAAAACGTAAGACTACAGAATGAGAATAAATGAATATAATAAAATAGGTAGAGGTACGGTTTAAGAAGATAAGTTTGCTCAAGTCTAGACACTACTTGCTGTTTTGGACCGAAACGTCATATCATGCATTGTGTAACAAAATGGGAGTCAAACACCTACAAAATAATTCGGTCAACTAGATGTGTTTAATGTGGATAAAACATTCACACTACAGTGAGCATGTTCAAAACTAGAAAATGAGATAACTTACCATATTATCCTCCCAAAGTGTTTCACACATCCCATACATTTGTTCTGTACACGTGCCGCTAACAACAAAATCGTTGGCCTCACATACACAGCCGATTAAGTCCATGCATGCAACGTATGGTTTGTTCGTAGTATGGTCAATACCAGCGACTACTGGCTCGACAAAGTATGGTCCAAATCTACACCTGTAACTTTATAAGTAACATTACCTGCGCTCGTAAAGCAAGTTAGATAACATGGTAGTTATAGTTTGAGGTTTGATTGTCCTATTCTCACGTAGCTCGTACATGTTTTTTCGGAAAAGCAAACGCTGAAACCTGGTGGACAACATTAATGATTTTTTAATGCTTACACTGTCTGATTATCAGTTGCCAATCCAGGAAACCCTACGTACAGCCGAGGTCCGAGAGGATAAACTTTGGTGAAGTCAGTGGAAATTGTCTGCAAATTAACTCCAAACCTAAGATCACAAGCAATAGCTGCGCAATCTTTGCCAGACATTGCAATGACAGCAGACCCATTGTGAGCTAAGATACTCTTTGAAAATATCACGAGAAGAAAAGGTGATTACCATTATGAATATTAAAAAGCTTCGTTATTGAAAAGATTGGTGGGCCTATTTATTTGAAATCACAGTCCAACCCCACGGACAATACACTAAGCTCACAGGTAGAATCTGCCCACCTTTAGTCTGTCCTTCAAACTACCGTAGTAAAACGAATCACGAATATGTAGTGTTCAGTCTTTGTTAAGCCCATTAAATATTTAGTTGTTAACGTTAGATTTGGGAATAATTTGGGTGCTGATGGAACGTGCAGTGCAGAAGAACAATGAAGGTTAACAAGTCAAGGGACAGAGAAAAAAGTGAGTTGACAACCTTTAAGCGCTTAAAATGCATATACTACAAGAATTAGAAATGAAAAGGCATAAGACCAATAAAATCTAGCAGTGTAGACTGGAATTTGATGGCATAATGTTTCGAGTACGTTGCATCCTCTGGATTTGAATATATCGGCATCTGATTTTAAGAAACTAATTCCAACTGTTCTATAAAATCAACAAGGTACCTACTTTGCTTTGGCAACATGACATAATAATAGAAGCTAGACATTTACAGTGAGGAGTGATTTCAACATAAACTAAGATTCCACATAATTCTCACTTAACGTAGTTAAACGTATCACCCAAGTAGGTGAGCGGAAGAAGGAGTAGCAATTGTTTTTATCCTTCAGAAGCAAAAGATGTCATGGTCATTCATTTACGCACGCTGTGCAAAAGAGGAGTATTATCCTGATGATGACAGTCAGGACGTTAAGCCAGAGGTTTTTGCGCACTTTTTACATGCTGTGGAAGACATTGTTTTTCGTTATTTTTCAGGTATTAACAGCAATTTTTCCGTTCCATATCAATTTTCGTAATGCTTGTGTTTGGTTCATGGCTTTTACTCCAGTTTGTTAGTAGTTTGACGTATTTGTTCCTCACAACCTTGGTGAATATTTAGTCAGCCTAATATGGTTATACGTAACAATGCTAATCCAAGCAAGTGAAATTCACCATTTACCAAGTCAAAATTTGACCACAATCAGAGTTTTATGGAAAAATGAGCTCTAAGAACTTCTACATTTTATTCACCTCCCTTATTATGATGGTGGTGAATATGGATGTTGGTAGTTGTTTATTAAATGTAGGTTGAATCAATTAAGCGTTAAAGTATTTGGGAATGTTATATAACTTGTTAATATATAGCCATAGAGAGTTCCATGCATTATAAGCATCATCGGTTTTGGCTGAACTGATATATTATTATGTAACGTATCTGTGAAAGAAAAAATCATGAATAACAATTGACGCTGATAGCCTTTTCTGCCCGTTTTATGAACATATAGAGGTATTGTGTGTTGGGGACGTTAGATCCCCAGAACTCATTTGGGAAAAGACCTAATTTTGTAAATTTATTTAGAACATTTGAATTTATTGTTTTCGTACCAAAGGCGCTCTTGTCACCTTGCTACAGGAGAACTGAAAAATCTGGCGGATCAAAACCTTTTTATTGTATACTATTAATTTATTGTGTTTTTGGATGTATCTGTTTTACTTAACTTTGGAGCTTGCTTGTTTATATCATTATTTCGGACATTTTGGTTTCCCCTTGTCGTTGGTTTGGTGTTTGGTAGTTTTGCTCCGGGAACCTACAAAATTGGAGGTTTGTTTTGTAATTGTTATAATTATTGTTGTTAGAACGACATTTGGGTAGACTATTTTTAAATCGCGAATAAACTTTGGTATCTGAATTGGAATTTGGTTCTATTGTTAATTTGGCTTCGTGAATTGCGAATAGATCGACATACCGTACTTCAGTAAAGGGAACGAGCAAAAACGTGGACGTGACAACCTTCATGTCGTATTTCACAATGGAAAATATTTTAAATGCTATTGGTGCGTTGCGTCTTTTAGTATGCTATTTGGCAACTCTCCCCAAAGACGGTTTTGAACTGTATATATACGTTTTGAATTGTGTTTGTTGTTATCGCTCGTTTCTGGCTGTTTGTAGAATATACTTCCGCATTCCAAGCTTGGACTTCTCGCTTTAGTTAGCGGGGCTGGGACGCACCAATAGCTAGCTTACTGGTCTTTGGACACCGAGCCTTGTTTCTCGTTCACAGATTAAGTGAACTCGTGATAGCTGCAACCCTAGCACTGTATATAACATTATTGTTAGTGCCACATAAATTAGTCACATATTCTCCATAACTAAAGCGATGCGCGTTTGTTTTGATCATGTCTAAACCATGTTCTAATGCATGTTTGCGAGTAATATCTAAATGGCGCTTACCAGTTTCTTTGTTAACATCAAAATACTAGGTGAAATTCTGGAAGGGTTGCAAAGTGAAGAGCACTGTTTACAAGTAAGACACTGTAGCGGTAAATAAATCCCAAAAATAATTAGCTCTGTAACTCTTCGACATTGGATGCTGACCACATGTTTTAATGGACTCACCTAGCTGAAGGCGCTCGGTCATGCATCCACACCAGAGCACGTGTGGGAACGCCGTGCTCAACATCTACTGCAATCGCTAGCCAGATTAGATCAGACGATTCTCGATACATTGACAGTCAACAAATATATCTTCCGATCTCCTCAATTCTGTTTTTGGTTTCTCTTGGTGGGTACGAGTTATATTACAAGGTATTAATGGTTAAAGCGTTGTCAAACATTGAATACCTGTGCCATCTTCAACACTTATCCTGTTGGCTGCAATTGCATTTACTTATAGAATTTTATACTGATAAGGAAGTTTAAGTTTTTTAACGACTGACTCCTTGTTTTTCAAAACTGCATGCAGCTGGAATGACGTCATATGTTTCTGATATGCAAATCTTGGCTTCCGTCAACTAATTGAAAGGCCCGGACTTTTCTAATAATCATGTCTATGACAGTGAATAAATCAGCGAATTTATATATATGGAGGATTATGTGGAGAAACAACTTACATTTTGACGAGTACTGTGTTTTATATTGACTACTTCCACGTCTGTGCATTTTATGATTTATTTATTTATAAATATAACAACCATACAGTATTTTGCGTAGTAACTCTTGTTAGTAGTCTAGTTCGGTACTAGTACTACTTTAATAATAGACCTAATCCTTATCTGTAAGATCATGCGTGGAAGTCCAAATCGATAGAGTACTACAAGTTTTCCTAACGAAACTGGTACTTATAAAGCAGGCGTATCGTTGTTTTCAATTTTCACAAGTAGTTACCAGTTAAAACTATCGGTATATCTAACCATGAAACTATGAAGACTAAATTAAAAATTGTGCAAAAGTCCAGTGATGCAACATTTGATGCGGAAGAATCAGTTTACAAGTTGTATATATATTTTAGTTAAAAATACTACTACGAAGAACTTCTTATAGTAAACAGTTCCTGTCATGTCTCCACACTGTTATATTTCGATCCATATTTTCTATCGTAAAGAATACTACACAAAGACAACCGTTATAGAAACCACATTATTGCCTACTTATTGATGATTCTTAAGTAAAAATTGACTTCCCTGAATCTACACATTCTGTTTGCTTCGTCTGGGTGGTGAAATCGTTGTTACTATGGAAGATGTAAATGTTATCTATCTTTCATTGACTGCAATGTCTACGAACATGATGAACTATACGGTTTATATTTTTTAATTGATCGAACTTACCGGTAAGAGTTCATCTTCTTATGTAAGCCAGAAGCATAGGACGGCCGGGACACCGGCTTGTCCCAATTTATCCACGATTCAGGTAACATCTGCACGCAACACGTTTTCCTCCCAGGCGAACAGAACAGGACCAAAATTTACCCAGACCGGAAGAAATGTTCCCTGAAGTGGGGAGACTGGGAAGTTATGAAGCAACAATCGATCCAACGTGTGCACTACGAGATGGAGAGGGCTAAATCAACTTCCATCGCAATGATTTTGTGTTTTTGTTGCAACAAGAGACCACTTTAATATGAAAACACGTGATATCCATGCAGCCCAACGGACTCCCAAAGAACCCCCAGCATTTGAAATACCGAATGACCACCTCTTGTGAAGCAGTTCAAGCCCATTGAAACGGAACCGCGGACAGCTTTAAAAAGGTCTGATGTTTTTAACGTGCCCTTGAAGTCACCAACTTCTGATCTGAACCATGTTATTAGATGCAGATTACTGGGTCGGAGTTCACGCCACCATCGAAACCAGTGGTTGGAGACTCTGGGTGATATGGCTCAGAATCAATCGCGGTGAGTAGGTGTGTACACTTCTCATCTTCATTTAAACCGTGAGATTGAAATTTCCTTCTTTCTGTATTATATCCTTATATAGAGTCTTTCTTTTATTTATTACTACCATCAAAGTAACTACTTTATGAATTTGGTGTTCATCGTGTTGGGCTAATGAGGTATGGCCAATTGGACCGACGCATATATGTGCCTGGTCCTATGTTGTAGCTGACTGACTGTTACAATATAAGTGGTATATGAAATAACAAAATGATCTCGGTTATTATGAAATGAATGTTATTTGTAAGCTGCTCTCTGAGATAACATCCACAAATCAGTTCACTTGATTATCGAAGGTTCCTCTACAGCTGGTGGCACCAACGGCGTAGTGAGGATGATTCTATTAGCTAGTATTATTTGAAAACAATCCGGCACAAGACTCCAACTTAGTGTAGGATAGCCTAAAAGAATGTAATAGCACTATCACGACTTTCAATCAAAGGCTGTGGCTAATAAAGCAGAAGAGCGGACGGCTGAGACAGCGTTTATTTCCCAACAATCGCGGTAGTGTGTATGTATGATAAGAAACAATCATATCTGTTTCTTTACGCATGATAAAGAGGGATAAAAGATATTGAATATAAATAAGGCTACAACTGAAGTGTGACGAACAAAATAACGAGGTCTCTATTTTGTCGTTACAGAAATCATTGAATAAACTTGTCACATGATCAGTCATATCAGAATTCAGAAATGAAGTGGTACGAAGATATATTTGATAGGCTATCGGTATGTCGAGGGGAGTTTCGTCTAAGGTGGCTAACAGTTGAAACGGATACGCAGCACGTCGTAACCACTCGTGATCTTGTAGCGCGGTGTCAAGTCGAGATTGATTATGAACACCGCTACCAAGGAAAGCGTGCCAGGATATCCATAAAATCCCCCGGAAGCCAAATATCAGAAGGCAGTTAATGGACCAAGTCGAGAAATATTTGCTGGCGATCTCGTGGTATCGAGAGAATACCGTGATCGTGCCAGGATACAAGCTTGGTTACTGAGCCTAACTGGATTCGCGCGAGGTCACAATCGAAATATTATGTTTTTGGCACA